TTTATTGTTTAACATTGATGTTAATTCTTATATTCTCATGAGCTAGATCTGTTATCTGTTATTTTTCTAATATTTCTTTTATGTCCCATGTGTTCCGTGATTATGTCTATCATTGTTAATTAATTCCATCCTTCTTGAATTTGCAGGTTGTTTATTTTGTAAATTCTGGGACAGAAGCCAATGAGCTAGCAATGTTGATGGCAAGATTGTACAGTGGCAGCCTTGGAATGATTGCCCTTAGAAATGCATATCACGGTGGAAGTTCGAATACTATCGGACTCACGGCTCTTAACACATGGAAATACCCAATTCCACAGGTTATCATCTTACCTTCAGATGCAGATAACTCAATCTTTTGTGTTCTAGTTCTCAGTTTCTCCTTTAAAAGGACTTAAGATAGTCTTAAATGGATAACTTGTGTGAGGTGCATGTTTAAAATTTGTTTTATATTATTGATGCATTTTTCTATTTCGTCCAGCTGATAAGATATGTAATTAGGAAAGCTATATTCGTATATAGAAGTTACTCAAGGATTGGCTGCCTAAGTGTTAATTTTTTCTTAAACTCTTGAGTTAATGAGTATATGACCGCTATGAATTTCTTTATTATTGGGCTGTTTAAAAGGTTGGTTCTCATTCTTTGCTATTAATTTCTCAGGGCGAAATTCATCATGTTGTGAACCCAAACCCGTACAGGGGCGTGTTTGGGTCTGATGCAAAACGATATGCCGAGGATGTACAAGACCACATTGATCACGGTACATCAGGAAAAGTTGCTGGATTTATTGCCGAGACAATTCAGGTTATTATTATTATTATTATTATTATTATTATTATTATTATTATTATTATTATTATTATTATTATTATTATTATTATTATTATTATTATTATTATTATGCTACTATTTATTATTTTTCTTGTACTGAAATGACTATAGGGAGTTGGTGGGGCAGTTGAATTGGCACCAGGATACCTAAAACTTGTTTACGATAGTGTTCGTAAAGCTGGTGGTGTATGCATTGCAGATGAAGTGCAAACGGGCTTCGGTCGAACAGGGACCCATTATTGGGGTTTCGAAACGCAGGGTGTAGTTCCCGACATTGTTACCATGGCTAAGGTGTGCATTTCTTTTCTTTTTTATTGTGCTGTGGATCAAATTTGGCATTAAAATTATACATGAAACCAAGGCCACATCTTGCTTCAGCTTGAAAGCATTTGGTGATTGGGTATAGTTTTGCTTTTTCATTTTTTGTCTGTTAAGTCAAGACTTATCTTATGGAAATAGGAAAATTTCCACAAAAACACTATTCATTTCATTTTATTTTTTTATCTATAATCCCATTAACGCAATTTAAAAAAAATAAAAAATAGTTATTATTATATAGTTTCCAATTAAAATCATTATGCATTCATTTAGAGATTTCTAACTACCAACCCTATCAAATATAGTTCTATTATTTTTATATGACATCAACTATAACGATTACATTTTATCTTATATTCTTTCACAATCTCAAAACCTATCCACATTTTTTTTTTTTAAAAAAAAAGAAGCAAACATTTTGCTTTTTCATCTCTATTTTCAGATGAGACATTTTTTTTTTCCCCCCGAATATTCTTGTATACAATCGCAAAAGTTCTCGTGCCTATCTCTTACATGGCATGATAATTTTTCCAAAAAAAAAAAAGCTGAATTAATTTAAGAACAAAAAACCCAGGGCATAGGCAATGGTTTGCCTCTTGGAGCTGTCGTGACAACTCCAGAAATAGCAAGTGTTTTGGCTCAAAAAATACAATTCAACACCTTTGGAGGAAACCCCGTATGCTCGGCCGGTGGGCTTGCCGTGCTCAATGTTCTCGATAAGGAAAAACGTCAACAGCATTGTGCCGAGATCGGATCTCACATGATCCAACGTCTAAGGGATCTTCAACAAAAGCACGACAGTAATATTTTCATACTTATATACTTTCAGAAGATTTTTTTATTTTTATTTTTTGAATTTCTTGCTAATGTTAAGGGCGTGTATTTGTGGAGCTAATGATAATAGCTGACCTCATCAAATATTTTTGCAATTACATACTTTCAGCCTTTATAAAAAATACGAGTGCCTTAACTTTTATCTTACATTTTACATTTTTCATCCATTAAATTCTTTCTGTTGACAAACGTTGATGCCATTTCTAATGTCTTGAAAAGTTGGTGGGTGTCATTGTAAGATACTGAATTGCCTATCATTAGTAAGGATCCTAGTTTTATCTTTTTACATAATATTTAATGTAGTGAATACTGATAAAGATTTTTCAATTTTGCCAGTTATTGGCGATGTGAGGGGCAGAGGCCTAATGGTCGGTATAGAACTTGTGACTGACAGAAAACAGAAGACGCCCGCCAAAGCTGAAACTGCGGTTTTGTTTGAAACTCTCAGAGGTTCGTAAAATTCAATTCAGAGGCACAGTATAAAAAGGGAAGGAAATAACTTACTTCATTTCTTAGCTAAAATATGCAAAGTAATTGTTGATTTGTAGAACTCGGTGTTTTGGTTGGGAAAGGTGGCCTTCATGGTAATGTCTTCAGAGTAAAGCCCCCTATGTGTTTTTCAAGATGTGATGCAGGTAATACCCGTGGTATTTTATTTACACAGAAAAAAAAATGAAAAGAAATAAATAAGTTCACTCTGTGGACTCTTAATAGTCATATGGATAACCTCTACAAAGTGATCTTGTTGACGAGGAGGCGTTTGTTAAGTAAAATTCAAATCTCGTTGCAATATATTGTAGTAGTACCTCAAGGGTTTTCTTGTAATTTTGAAAACATAACTGGACTTTTTCTTAATTTTGTAAATAATACATATTTTCTGTGGTTTGTGCAGATTTCCTTGTTGATGCATTGGACTATGCCATGTCAAAGTTGTGAACATAATCCTGAAAAAGGTCAAAAACTTTGGAACCAACTTGAAAAAGACTTGTTTTTTTAGCAGTCCTGCAAGAAATGCCTTGTGAAACAGAAACTTGCTTGTTTAATCAATTGCTCGTCTTATTGTTAAATCCACAATCTCAAACATTTCACTGTCTCTTGGACCGTCTTTCTTTGTTCGGGTTTTTATAGTAGAAAATGGCTTCTTTCGTGCAATTTTCACGTGATGATGCATCAACAGATAGTGAAGTTCAGTCACAATTTAAGGGCGCGAGGATTTTAAGGTATCTATAGTTTGCAGAGCCAAATTGATAAACTGAGTGCAGGTTTGTACCTTGCCCCTTTATCTTCCTTATGCATTGAAATGCATAGTTTAAGGGCGACTAGCTTCCTTACACTGTCGGGAGTCGAACATTTGTGAAGAAAATTCGTCAGACAACTCTCTGAGATTTCATATGGTTGGATTATTTTATTTATTTTTTATCACATTAACTATATCATTACAATTCTACCTCACATTGAATTCAATTATAATTTCTCCCTATTTTTTTCCTTCTGAATTTGTTTTTTGGTAAAAAACTATTTCCCATATCACGATTTTGGCGCATCACCATTTTTTTTTTTAAACCACCATCTGAACTACACGAGCTTGTCAAATTGCCCCCTATGCTGGAAATATATGTAGTTTTGATTAAAAAAAATTGATTTTTGAAGGTATTTAAGGAGTTTTATATATTTTCTAATAAAATGAAAAAAATGAAAAAAAAAAGTAAGAACAAATGGAGGGAGACCATCTCTGACCGGTAACCTGCGACCATCTCCGACCGGGAACCTTTGGCCATTTGTTTCTCATCCATGAAGCAGGAGTTTGAGCTCGGCGGCGGCGGTGGTAGACGCTTGAACTCCGGCTGTTTGCCTGCTACGTGAAAGGCAGCGTCCGAGCGGCATCCGCATCATCGCGTTTCGACGAGAATAATAATAACAGTAGTAGTGGCGTTTGGAAAGAATATGTGGGCTGAATGACTTAGTTTGAAGAGAACATAGATAAGGATGAATATATTGATAATGATCACAAAGAAAAAGCTACAGCATCTTATGATAACAGGTAAGAAGCCTCTAAGCACATTTTCTTTTGTCCTCCATTTTTTTCTTTTCATATTTTTTACCAGAAATTAAATTTTTCGTGAACAAGTTCGATGCTTATTGTTGGTATTTGCTTGCAAGATGTGTCGCAAGAATCCAACGCAAAATGGAAAAAAGATACTTGCCATGCACGACCATTCTGGTCAAATTAAAAAATTAATACAGAAGAAAAACAGAGGAAAAGAAGAACATGCAATTTGAGGATGAAGAAGATGAGCAGGAGGCCGAGATGGGGTCGACGGGCCCGAGTTACAACGACTCACTGGTCAACTCCAACTCAAGATACCCGCTCAAAACGCCGTGCTCGTCAGAGCCCCGCCGCGGCCGAGGAAGCCCCGCTACCGAGAGTGCCTCAAGAACCACACATTCGACATCGGCGGCCACGCAGTCGAGGGCTGAGGCGAATTCATCCTCACCGGAGACAACGGCACACTCGAGTCCTTCCGCTGCACGACCTGCAACTGCCACCGCAACTTCGGCTGGAAAGAGTCCGACCCCTCCTTAGGTGGCGCCGGTAGCACCCTCGCCTTCGACTTCCTCAAGGCTACCGGAGAGCGCTCGAGCGACGGCTCCCATGACTGCATCTCCTTTCTGATTCGCTCCGACTTCCTCACAGAGCTTGCCGCCACATATGCGATCATTGACACCATCGCCGGCATCATAGGAGTCTGCCGCCACGTGCACTGCTCTTTTCTTTCTTCATTTTTACATTTTCCTTTTTTTTTTAATCTTTCTTCATTTTTTTTGTTTTTTTGTTTTTTTTTAAAGATATAAGAAGTTTCTTAAGTGCCCTCATAAATCAGCTTTTTTTTTAGTCAAAACAACTTTT